GCTCCATACTGGCGTTCCTGCTGCCGAAATACTTTGTATACCTTGTGTTATCACACTTCTGGAGGAAGCTATGTTTGGCTTGGCTTTGGCGAACGTTAGATCGCGCTGGTTCCTAAATAAAGGTGTTACTCTGTTGTGTCATCCTGATGAAACGCGATGGCAAAGTGGTATGCGGAACAGTTTTACGCTTGTAACTGCGAAACTAGCAAATCGCTTGTTCACCTCGTATCATAAAACTGTCATCATCGTAAAGAAGTGTGTGCACAGCAGAAATTGAATATATATCCCACTACTCATTGTTGGCCCAATAAAATTGAAGTAGGACATAGTTACACCCCCCTCACCGCCCCCCCCCAAAAAAAAAACAGGTGTGGTCTGTATGAAAAAGTTTAGGTTGTAGTCGGGGCGTGAACTAGCACATAACGGGCCGCTCCCACGTCGGGACAGGTATGCCCAGCCTCTCCGCCGTATCGTGGGCACCTTTAACTGCCCATAGTCGCGTCTCGAAATCCGGATAGCGTAGCGCAGCACCCCACTAGGACGATGTAACGCCCTCAACCCGTAACGCGGGCCACCGCCAGAGCATGTGATCTAAGCTGTCTCCGCAAAACGCGCACGTATTTGACGTATGAATTTCTGGATACATTCTGTGCAAGAGTGCGGGATTAGGATATGCCCCGACCTGCAAGAGTCCGAGCGTCAGTGCATGCGGCATGTTCAGTTTACTAAGCGGTGGCGGATACTTTGTCCTTCTAAGATAAAAGTACATACTTCGTAAGTTCTTTGTGGGTCGTTGGGGAGACCTCTGTTGTCCAGAACCTCATCGCCACGCCGTTCAGTAGGTCATAGTTTCCCACAATACTTACTAGAGGGAACTCTGGCGCTAGTGTCTATGGGAGCTGCAACACACGGCGCTTCAGCGAGCATGGGAATGATGGGTAGTACACACATTTGTCCAAACTTCGTACTTCTGGCCTGCTTTTGGCTCCGTGTGTGTTCGTGTGGCTTGAAGCTTTTTTTCTCAAGAAACAACAATCGGCAAATGTTCAGCAATTGCGCTTCATCACCTTATTTTTTTTAGACTTACCTTTCCAAATCGAGTCACGAAGTTTAAAAGGGTTGAATCTTTCTTTCAAAACAAAATCGAAACACAGCAATAAACGAAGCCGCAAGTACGATTCACCGCTCGCAAGTACGAAGACTAGGCAAATGTGTGTGCTACCCATCATTCCCATGGTCGCTGAACGATCGCAGCGCCAGAGTGCCCTCTAGTTAATTTTGAGAAACTCTATGCAGTAGGTATACGCGGTCGACGACTCCTCGCTGGGCCGACTAATTAAGGTTGGACGGAGCGCCCTCCATCTGTAGCGGGGAACCGCCACAGAAATTTGCGCGACCTTTCCGAAAAAAAAAAAAACTATCACCCTCATAAACGGTTATGTTCCACAGAAACTGGGGTGAATCGCATCGCGTACAACTTCCACTAAAAAAATGAAGGCGACACTTCGCGTAACAATTAAGTGGCTGCGAAACAATGGGCCCACGCTATACGTATACACAGCGACAGAATAGATGTGGCGTAATTGCGGCTGCAGATGTCGCTCGTGCTGTTTCGTGCGCGACACTCCATCGTTCCAGACAGTGAGAGTTGACCACTGTACAATATACTACGCATTATTCACGTGGGGCGAACCTATCTTCGTGCTTGGTGGTGTACACTATTCGGGGTCTTGTGTCAGAATTCACCCGACGGTACGCTTTCGAGAGCTTTTAAGGGGGGCTGAAAAAACAAAAAAAAACGTTTATATTGGCTCGCTTGCCGACGCACTTCATGTTGTGGCTAACTCAATTGAAGTAAGGGATTACTGCGACTTTCTGCTTCTCTCGCACTTGTGTTGTCTCACAGGGAGTTGTTGTAGCACGACTAACATCCTTGATAGACTTCAGCGTTGTTTCCGCCACGGACCTCAATATATCGTGAGGGCACACAGCTTTCACATTACAAGCGCTCGACTTGTTTGGTGAAACTCTATATGAAATAGTGTGGGCACAGTGTGGGCCCCAGCCTTGAGTGAACTGAATCGAAGACAAGTACGGCCTTATTGCCTCGCGGAGCACAAGTCCAACAAACATGAGACGGCATGAAATGCAATCAAAGCGTATACGAATTTCAGCCGGTTATCTTCGCGGGCTTTTTGTAGTAACACCAAGATGGTAGAGGCATTCGTTAAACAAAACCACAGCCTCCGCAACATCACAAGAGCCATTACCAGAGTCTAAAGAAACACAAATTATTGTCAACTTCTACAGCGGAAAAATCTGCAAACATTCGATGTGACCTTGCGCGCTTGCAGCAGTCAGTCGCACTGTGCGAAAAACCGCTCGCTCAATAATGGTGCTTGACATGACACACCATTTTTCTGCGTGTATGTAGCATCTTTTAGAAAAACAAAAGTGGAGATGTGCTCAGCAGTTCTAAGAACCAACTTGCTGTCATTCCTGTTGTGTTTTAGAAAGTAACAATACGTTGGTCAGTATACGTAGTTTCTCAATACAAAGAAGTAGGCAATCCTGCGTTGGCGAATAATGTAAATTTCTGACATCAATAGAACAGTCTGGGTACCTTTTGTCAGAATTGTATAGTTAGTTTATTTTTTTTTTGTCAGCGACTTCTGTTGATTTGTTTACCAAGAAAGTATCGTCGACATGTAAAATGGCCAGTTTTTCTTGCAAATGCGGGTCATAACGTTGCCAAGTGCCTCTTTTTGACACTATTACGCTCCGCGGCATTTCAGGTGCACACACACACACGCACACACGCACACGCACACATACACCACTGTGTGTGTGTCTCTCTCTTTTGTGTCCTTGTCGTGAATGAGGAACCCCAACCAACTATAGCCCGGCAACGTGCCTGAGCAGGTATGTGGGTTTTCATGCTCAACAAGACATCTAGCGATACCATAATTGGTTGAGCAGTGGTCGAGAACCCATGTTACGGGATCGCGTGACGTCATTGGTTGAGCATTGGTTGAGAACCCCCGTTCCCACTAAGTCAGAGTATAAGCCAAATTTAGCGCCTCCCGCCTCCCCCTTTCTGCCCTTCGCACGCCTATGGTTAACTATTAAAGTCAAACATACGTTGGTGGAATTAACAAATGACTTTAATGGTGCACTGACAAACATATCTTCAACTGAATGAAGACAATGTTAAAAATTATCTATGTGCTTTCGTTCATAGTTGCGCATGTTTTCGTTGTATTAAACAATTACCTGATTGTTTGGGCTCCCTTGCGTAATAAATGGGCAGTGCCAGTACTGTTGTGAAGTGGCCAACACTTGCCATATGCATCTGGACCTGCCAAATGAACCCAAAATTAACCCCAATCTCCAACCTCACCAAACAGTGCTGGGAAACGACCCTGCTAGATAGCTCCGCATTCGACTAATGACGTCCGGGACTACAGGGATGTCGACCAGCCCAGTGGGGATAAGGGCTATCTGGCATCGCCAGCTTAAATGAAGGGTTTTCCTCCTTCTCGTGATTGAGTGACGTTCTTTCATCAAATTTTTAAAAAAATGTTTTCAAGAATCGGAAAATTCGTCATGTTCCCGCTTGTTTCGGGCTTCCTTTGCGATGAGTATTCGCTCGTTTGCTCGGCAGCATCTGGCAACACGGCTGTAGAGGCGCAGATAGTCTCCCGTGCCAAACAAGGCAACACCGTAATTCATATGTGAAACGCATTGAACTTGTATTCACATAAATCGGGCCCCGCCGCGGTGGTATAGTGGCTAAGGTACTCGGCTGCTGACCCTCAGGTGGCGTTATCAAGTCCCGGCTGCGGCGGCTGCATTTCTGATGGAGGCGAAAATGCTGTAGGCCCGTGTGCTCAGATTTGGGTGCACGTTAAAAAAAACCTTAGGTGGTCGAAATTTTCGGAGCCCTCCACTACGGCGTTTCCCAGAATCATATGGTAGTTTTGGGGCGTTAAACTCCACATATCAATCAATCAATCGCATAGATCGGATCTATTCGTCTTCCGAGCGAAGTTTGACATTTCATACAAAAAAAAAGTGTGTGTTGTGTCCGTGAGTGTTCTTTTACGTGTTTTTTTTTTCATATCTTTCTTACGCAAATTGCCAAAACTGTAAATTCATCCCTTAAGACTGCTATTCCAACACGTACATCTTATTTTTATTCCTAACATGTCTTCCTGCTCACACTCTTCTATTGCCCCTTTCCCCCTTCTTCCTCTCTCCCTGCAGAAAAGAAAGTCGGCGACTATATACGCGAGCTCATCATTCTGCTCTTTCAACAAGCCCTCTATCTCTTTCTCAACGGTGTCAACGGCAGTCTATGGAGTCCGATGAGGCGCTGGACTGCCGACCCGAAGGTCGCGGGTTCGATTCCAGTCGCGATGGTCGCATTTAGATGGAGGCGAAATGGTAGAGGCCCGTGTACTGTGCCACAGTGTAGGAACAAGTCGACGGGTAACTCCTGCGGAGGAAGAGAAGCAAACCAGAGAAAAGCCCCTGGTCCAGGTTAGGAAAACGGCATCTGTCTGGCCTTACTATCCGGGGAAAAAAACACTCACTAATTAAACATGACACTAGCGAAACGACTATTAATCACGAAGAAAAATCAATCGCAACTACTCAATCTTTGGCCAAAACCCTCCGAGTAGGCAAGCGCCAGGACACCACGGTAGTACATGCCTAACTGTATCATCATCTTTCTTGCTGTCGTGCCGCAAGCAAGTGACAATATAAACACTCATAATAGAGACGCCCCGGCACGTTCAACTAGGACCGCGCGCCTCCGATTGAAGCACGACAGGTGCCGCCGTTACTTGTTCAAGTATGCAGTGCAGGGAACCACACTAGCGAAATATGAATAGGGTCCATGGCAGTAAAAAAAATCCATTCAGCGCCCTTTCCACTCGGTATCAGAGAGCGCACATTTGCTCATTATTTTCACGCCGGTCTCTTGCTTCACGCAGGGACGACGACCTCTCGAAGCCGGACGCAAATACCCGTCCCAGCGTCTCCGTGGCGGCGACCCACAAGACCGACGGTACCACTGCGGGCGCCTACCCCGAGAAGCCCGTCTCCTGGACCAGCCGCGCTCTCGAATCGGCGTTGGTCGTGGCCTCCGAGATTCTCCAGTACCCGTGGGGCGCCGACGCGCTCATCCTGGTCGGCATTGTCCTGCTGGCCTCGTTCCTGGTCGTCCTGTACTACGCGGTCGCCGTCGTGCTACCCATCATGGTCCTGGCCGTCATCTTGGCCATGATCAACTCGGCGCTCTTCGAGAACAGCCGCTTCCTACACGTCCTGCGGAGACTGGGGCTCACGTGACGCCCTGTCGTGACGTCATGAGGCCACGCTTTCTTGTTTGTTTATGGAACTGCCTTCGTACTTATTACTGACGAACTTTAAATACGACCGTAGTCGGGCGAGAGGGTCCCCGTGTTTGGTGGTAATGTTGCAATAGTTTAGCTCCGTCGTTTGGATGTCACAGGCACTCCTGCAGGTCAGCATCGTTAGCGTGCGTGCGATAGAGTTGTGCGTCATCGACGGTGCCTTCGCTTGCAATAATCAACACGCGACTGGCGCTGTCTTCTGTTGATTTCAATTGATCCTAACGCGTCGTTTTGGTCCGGAGGCTTAAACGTGGCGTTCCGCGTAATTCAGCGTCCTTGAATGAGGTTTATTGGCTCATGCTGCCGTTTGTACGACCGTTGCCTCCGTACGTTGTACTGTTCCCTCCGCGAGCAGCTCCGTCAGCGCGCCGTCTCACTGCCAGAGCTCACTGCGGAAGCAACAGTACATTATGCCAATAGACTTGAATGCATTGTGGAGAGTGCCGGATAAATTCTGCAGGTCAGAAAATATACGTGATCGATGTTTGCAGCGCTCCCTAACAAGATTATAAGAAGCTAGCCAACAAATAAAGAAGAGACTAACAACGTTTCGAAACGTTGAGCACAGCGGCAAGCACGCAGTTTTGTGACTTAAAATGGCGTCACAATGTCACGGCTTGCTGCACAACAAGCTGCGCAACAAGCTGCCCCGAGGTATTTTCACTTAGGTGCCGACAGTGGCATCGGCCCAGGCGTCGTCCCAGACTACGTTGTCTTTCAGTATACGATTTTGATACACACCCTCACAGATACGCAGGGTTGCACTGCCAGATTACGGCACGCTGCATACTGTGTTCTTTGCACGTTCCTTAGCTTTGTTACTGCGATATACGTTATCGAAACAATGTTCTGTGATCACTTTGGTACTTCTCAGAGAATCTCCAAGTCTTTTTGTCTCGGATCTCCTACCAAATGACTTGCTTTCTCTGTGTACCGTAACCTGCAGGTGATAAACTTTCCGCGCGCGTTTGTATTGTGTGTCATTTGGCCCCCACAGTGTTCCACACTGATTCACTAGAGGAAAATTTGGCGCTATAGTGCACGTGGGAGCTGCAGCGCATGGCGTTTCACTCGGCATCGGAACGATGGGTTGTGCATACATTTCCTTCCCTAAGCTTCCCTCTTTCGGCTCCGTGTGTCTCCGTGTAAACCGTTATGTCGTAATACAAAGATCACCGAAATTATAGTGTGCTATATATGTTGTGCTATACCAACACTTATGCACTCCTACTTCCCCACCTTGAGACTGGCCAGTTCGAAACAGTTCACGAAGTTCACAACGAGCTGTCATTCTTTCCGAAACAAAAGCCGAAGCACAGGAATATACCAAGCAACGCTTCCTATAAAAACTGTTATAGAACGTCGCTCTCTTTTCAATAGGGAGCCTCCTTCCAGCGCGCAATCTCGGAGGCCATGCCTCCTGCCTTGTGTTGCGACCGGCCGCCGCATGAGACCGCTCGCCTCCGGACCGTTCGGTCACGTGACATAACCGTACCGCTCTGTCACGTGACATCACGGCTGCTCGGAGGCAACTGTGAGAGCGTTGCTGTGTTCGCGGGGGGCGGCCGTCGGATACGCTCGCCGTCGTACCGATGGAGGAGGGTAAAATCAGAGGGTAGGGCAGCACGTTCGCGACTTACGTTCCAGGCATAATTTTTTTAGGAGGCCAAGCCACAAGAACGTTCGAAGCCGCGAGCAGTAAGACTATACGTATACATCTATGTACTACACAGCACATCCTTCACATGATAGCTGAACAATCGCTGCGCCACATTTCTCTCTAGTAAACATTATAGAAAACTCAATCATTTTCCTTTTATTGTTAACTGGGTCTAAACGCGTTGTTGTTTTTTTGTATATCAACTAAGGTTGTCATAAATCATGTTGCCGATTCGTTGATATTCCTACCAGGTTTCCACTGTCCGCTGGCTCGTGTAAAACTATGTGCCTGGACGACAGTCGGCTGAGGTTTTTTGTGTGTGCATACAAAGAAGCCAAAACTCTACCTAAAATTATTTGTCATGGAACTTTTTACAATTCGTATTACCTATATATGTGTGTTCGACCATGGTTGTCATATCTATTTTTATGCACTGTGTTCACAAAAAAAAAAAATAAAGCGATATGAAACCCTGGAGTGCATTCTGCCCTGTCTGATTCTGTTTGTTTCATCTGTAGAGGTCTCACTGCCGTTTCATTTCACACACACACACAAAGTGGGTTGACAAATAAACCTTAATTTTTCTATTTGTCTCGCTCCATTACTGCAAGAATCTTCCGCGGACGACAGTAAACGAGCAACGTCAACTCGAAGGCCCGTGTGGACGCTTCAATTAGAGTCTGGCAGGAAGCCGCCTTCGCGATAAATGTTCTTGTTTAATTCGAAGCTTCGTCCGACAAACCTGCAGAGAACATGTCCCATTTGCAGTTTCCTGCGCCAAATGCGTAAGTGGGCTTTCTCGGAACTAGCTAGACGAAACAAATTCAAACAAACCAATAAAGTTACATGAATGTATACAAATAATATAAAGCCAGCCTTCTCGAAATGCGCAGGCGAAAGTAAAGGCACAAGTTTCTGTAAGGCGTACACTCAGAAGTCTGAAACCGTGGTCACGCGACCACACGCAGATTACTTTGTTCAGTAGAGCAAGCGTGACACATCTGTACACGAATGTCTGCACTGCACCCCCCCCCCCCCCTGTTTACGTCTGTGCACAGTTCTACATCTCTTGCTTTTATCTTCTTCACCGTCTCTGCCTTTGAACGACTAAATTTCCTCACTGCGGCCCACTAGCTGAGGTTGAGTTGGAGACCGCGGTGGATAAGTCATAAAACAGGAGTATTTGACAGAGCAATCGCTCCTACACTGGTATCGTGGGGTTTTGCTTTCAGCAATAACGTCGTTTAACAACGTAGTCCACGTGTCCCCGTTGGACGTTGACCGTCCTCCTCCTCCATCTTGAGATTTATGCAAGCGACCGCCCGCAGCAACAACCACACGGATCGAACAATCGAAACGCCATTATTAGACGCGACTGACCCTGTCTCACTCTGCGACAATACTTATGGGCATATTGCAGCGTTCTGTCTGTTTTACTAATGCTTTCTTGTTCTCGCTTTTTTGTCCGATAGAGATCTCAAAACAACTGCTGTCGACATTGCTAGAGCGTGTAAGGGTTTTCTTGACAAGCTTCCCGTGAGGAGCATACGCAAATGACGTTTTCTGGACACAATGTATGTCCCTGCATGTTTGCTGTTGATAAAAAGCCCTGGTGTTGTTCCCTCTCCGTGTCCATGTGTCAGTGTGCGCTAAAAATAAGTTACGGTGCACTCATACCAACTAGCTCGTCTTGCAATATTGCTCCAGGTCATTTCTAGTATACGAGCTCTTTTTCTGTGTTACTTCACCTATAGATGTGTAACCTCACCCGCAACCTTGGCCCCTGTCATCACCCTATGTGAATAGCCCTGTAACAGCCGGGGTGGTTAATTTTCCTGAGAGACACGTAAATAATTTTAAATAAGCAAAAAAAAATAAACAATAAGCTGCTCCGGTCTGGGTAGACGTTGACGTCACGACAAACCGCCACGGCTGGCCAGAGCGTAAACAAAGCCCACGAGCTCCCTCTATCGCGCGAAAAACAAGTTGGAGTTCTCATCCGACGCGGAATCAAACTGTGCCGGCACGTCTGAACGTACCAGTGACAAGTTCAGCGATCATTGCAGCTATACTATCTAAGCGCGGAAGCATCGCCTTTTGATTTCGAATCACCAGAGCGTAAAGAATCTGACATGACCCGAATAGATCTCCTTTTTGCTCAACATTGTACATCCTTAGTGTAAGACCCGATGTCAACGAGGACTAACACGATATGCTGCTGAAAAAAAAAATACAATTGTGCTCGTGTTGTCGACACATCGTCTAAGAAAGCGCGCGCTGCATCCGTCTGTTGGGTGAGGCGAGGTTTTATTTATTTTATTTTATTTATTTAATACATACTGCGGACACTAAGTGGTCCAAGCAGGACCACTTAGTGTCTTGCTTGGACCTAAGTCCAAGCAGGACACTAAGTGTCCTGTAAGATGTAAGTGCCTACTCTTGAAGAAGAGTAGGCACTTACATCACATACACAGTGTGGCCCGGGTTTATAAGTGTGATTTCAGAATTGGTTACTAATTTTTCAAATTCATTTTCTAAAAAAAATTAATGACTTACGGCGGTATATTTTGGTACATATCCCCACGGTACCGATCGGAGAAGATATATGTTCGAAGTTTTATCGAAATCAGTGAATGTCGAAAAATCACCGGAGTTCCCCTTTAAGCGATGCGGCTGCTCCGTCAAGATTGATTATATAAAAAAACAACACAGAACAATCTGAAGAAATCAATGGAGTCAAGATGCGGAAAGGCCCCGAGAAAAACTGGTTTTTACTGAAGGTTGGCATCAAGTTTCACCAGCCTTTGTTTCCAGAGTGCGTTATTTGCACCACGAAAGCCCATAATCCGTAGGACAGGACCAATTTCGGCGTACTCAAAACAAACTATTGTCAATAGATTTAAGTCAGCTCGTATGAAGAAAGACGTAAGCCAGTAGGTTCGTTCTTACCATGTGTGCCAAGTACGCCACGTCATTCAAACATAAACAGCCTTACGGACGCCGTGATACTGCCTTGCCACTCAAACGTGCGTTTTGAAGTTGTACACCTGGATTTGGCGGAGCTAAGTAAGAAATGGGAAGGAGTCAGAAAAAAATTGCCCGCAGCTTCCCTCGGGGGAACACTGAGGAGGATGCGGACCATATAATTGGTTAACGGGGTGTTAAAGTGCGACTTACTTGGGTCGATGGCTAAATTGGTTAACGTGGTTGTGAAATGGGGTGTTAAATTGCGACTTACTTGGGTCGATGGCTAAATTGGTTAACGTGGTTGTAGGAGGGGGTGTTAAATGAGTGAACACGTACACACGTATGCGAAAGGGCGGCGCTGGTCGAAGGGACGTCGATCATTGTGTTTGTGGATTCGTTGGAATTCATTTCACCGCGACCTTGGACGTCGACGCGCCGTACAAACCAACCGACGAGCGGCAACTGAGCGAGCGAGCGCCGACCTTGAGTATATATACAGCACGACGGCGCATGCACTGTCAGCTGTTGAATGTTCTCGAAGCGCGACGCCACATGCGCGTCCACTGGAGAATCAGGAGAATTGTAGATGTCGAACGCGGTGTGTAGAGGAGGAAGGGTGCACAGATGGTGGAGGAGTGAAGCGCGCGCGGTGTGTAGAGGAGGAAGGGATGCACAGATGGTGGAAGAGTGGGCGACGGCGCGACGGCGCATGCGCGCGCGTCAGCTGTCGAATGTTCGAGAAGCGGTGCGGACGGCGCACTACAAGGCGCGAGTATAAGATGCTCCGCATCTAAAAACGTAAGCTTTTCTCAGATGTATACGCACCATAGATGAATGCACCAGGATGGTCGCGCCACGAGCAGAAAAAAGAAGTTACGAATTAGCTACACAACCCTCCTCGAAAGATGCGAATAAGCGACATAACCCTCCTCGAAAGAGACATTAGGACTACGTGGGCAATTGTATATGACTACGGCTCCGCGTTAAAGAGTGAAAAACTAGCACGATGGGCTCAAGAAGGCAATATATCGATAATTCTGTGCACCATACCATCTCGCAGCGAGTATAGGCTAGTATAACGTGCCATACGAAACGGGAAACAGTACATCAACTAACTTCGGATGTACAATAGCTTTCCTGATTGATAGAAATGCTCTTTAGAAGCAGCCGTAATCATCTTTATTGATCCTATACGAGTGGCTTGGAGTGCAGTCCGCAGTCCGTTTCTTCAGGAGAGACCCCCCATTCTGCAAGCCGGGGGGCACTATATAGGGAAATATGAAGATAGTTGAGGGGAGGCAACAAAAATCACAGACAAAAAGGCAGAGTAAACGAATGAAAAAAAAAATAAAGTTCACAAGAGACATCAGTCAGACATGCCAGACGTTCAAGTCATCGATTTCGTACTAGTGATGAAAGGAATGAGAGATTCAGTGCCAAATTTTATGGCACTTTTGTGACAAAAACAGCCACTCAGAACGGAATAATGAAGACTGTCTGGTACTACAGTGACCTTGAATCAGTTGAGTGTGCTTCAATTTTACCAAAAACCACAGAGAAGTGGCTGACGGACTCCTTTCCAGACATCACGAAGGCGCTTCTTGGACATTTGAAACTTGTAGGCCTTTCGGATGGCTAGGCGACACTTCTTTTTTTTTAAGTGGACCGGAAAGGGGTTCGTCTACTTGTAATGCAGTTGTCTTTCCCCCCCTCTCTCTGCTGAATTTTAACTGTCTTCAAGTATTGCCCCTGGAGGTGTAGTTAAAAGTAACCGGGAAGGGTGAAGCCGTATGAGCCTTGTACATTGCGCGTTAAAGTACCCCAGGTGGCCGAAATTTCCGGAGGCCTCCACAACGGCGTCTTTCATAATCATACGGTGGTTTTGGGACGTTCGGACGTTAAACCCCACATATATATCAAAGCATTGGGACAGAACATGAAGAAGCACGAGAGCCGGGGAGAAAAGAAAAGAAGACTGAAGTTGGAAATAAAGCCGAATAAAATGAATTAGGCCACTGAATTTTTGTCCAGTCCCCCAAGGTGGTATTAAGCCACAAGAAAAAGTGAACAAGAAAACAAGGAAGCCAGCTCCATAGCAAGGCTTTAATGGTGCTCTGTTTTTTTTAATTAGGAACACTAATCTATACGTAACCGACTAGTTTTACAGATTTTGCGATAGCCTCCGTTTCCTTGTAAAAAAAAAAAAAAACGCGGACACGCTTTCCATTATTCAAGTTCATTTCCCACATATAGCACCCATTCTGAACTCATTACAAGGCAATTTGTATTTGGGTTAACATTCCTCTAATTCCTTACTTGTCTGTACAAAACGCGGGCGTCTCCAAAGAGTCTTAGCCAAGGTGGCCCCGATACAGAGCCCTATGCGACTTCTAGTGTCACATTGCACGCGGCGCTTTTTTTTTTTTCGCATATCCTACATATCAGCATTACAGAAGTGATTATAAGAGGGAAATGAAAATAAAAGTGAGCCCCGTAACTGTCTGCATCAGGGTGCGACACCTCAACA